TCCATCGGTGCCAACGGCGCCAGCTTGTGCCCCCCAGCTCCAGAAAGAAGGGGAGCACCATGAAGGAGAGGGGGCCGGTGGAGGGTGGAGTGTGGGTGCCATGACCGGGCTCCCAGGGACGTGGGCACGGCTCCAGCCTCCTCCCCTGTTCATTTTCCCTGCCTGGCACTTTGGAGAGGCGTCAGCATTGTGCCCCAAGTCAAACCCCAAGTGAAGCCCCCTTCCTGAAGCTGTTGCCTGAGCGCCGGCAGCCTGACAGGCTCTACTTTTTGTTTGCTGCAATTTTTGCATTATAGCAAAAAGAAAAAGGGCAGGATTGAGAGGGGTGGGAGATTCAAAGAAAGACCTTCCTGATGAAGGCCTCAGCTGTTGCAATCCAAGATCTGGATTTAATAAATGGCTCTTATTCACAAATCACTTTAAGGCTCTTCAGCTTCTCTCAAAGAGGTGCTTCTACACATAGGGTTTCCTTTCTATTTTATTTCTTAATGATTTTGGGAAGTATTGTTGCTACCGTTGACACTAAAGCCAGTATCGCACCTTTCCACCCTACCAGGAGAAGGAAAGTTGAAGGTAACAACACGCTTCCATTTTCAGGAATGGAAACTGCAGCTTTCTGGACTTAGTGGGAAATGCACAAATCCCTACAGCCAAAACAATATCTGGACGGGGTCTAAAATGGACAGGGTCTCCGTGTGTGTGTGTGTGTTATTTCTAAAGGAATCCCTCAGCCTTCTCAGCAACTCACCAGAGAAAGGAGGTGGAAAATAACAATCAACATTTAGTTTTCACATCCAAAAGGTAAACCAGTCTCCCTTGCCACGTTCCAGCCACTCGCATCAGCAGAAAATGAAGATGAACCAATAAACAAGGGTCTCGGTCCCCCCTCGCCCAGCACAGTCCAGGTTGCGGGAAAGCCCGCTCAGTCCTGGCGGAGCGTGACCCACCAGCGGGACCTGGCGTCAGGAGCAGCGCCTCCCCTCGCTCCTCCCGCACCCCTCATTCCCCGTTATGGCATTCAGTTCCCATAGAAAACAGCAAATAAAGAACCCCCCTGCCAGCCCACCTCACCGGGCACAATGCCGAGGGTGACCCCCAGGGCACCCATCAGGCCTCCGAGCAGCACTTCTGGTGGTTCATCTTGACCTTGTGCTTGATGCCATCGTATAGCTCGAAGTTGTAGTTCTCCAGCGTGGTGGAACTCCGCGAGGACAGCCCGGCGTATGAGCATGTGCAGTAGAGGAGCAGACCAGCGCAGATGGCCCCGAGGAGGACTCCAAGAGAGCTCATCGCTATGATGGTCACCAGGATGGGATCCAGCGTGTACAGCCAGCTTTTTTCTTTGTCCAGCTTCGGGGTTCCTGGAGAGTTAGTAGAGAACAGTGTGTCGTTCCTATCCGATCCAAAGTAATCTGCAGCGGAATGGGCACTTCTTATTATCCAGGGATCACGTTTTCCCCCATCACCTTTGTGCATTTCTCACTTGAATTATAATGGCTTTACAAGAGTACAAGCCCCACCATGGGTTTATTTCCATAGGATCACTAACCCAGGTCCAGAAGTAATGTGGAGCATCAAACTACTAAGAAAGTTAGGCATCCTAATTCTGGTTTACATCTTAGGCTACCTAAACAGCATGCTAGCATTTTACACCCACTGAAACTCTGGCCTTCCAAGTGCCATTGGGTTCAAAACTATGGAAACAATCTGCCACAGAACCCAGACTTAATTTTCTCCATTTACAAGTCAAAATGCCATGCAAGCAGTAATTAATGCTTGAAAGATCAGTTCCACTTGTCCTAACACAAATACAATATATTGACTTCTAAAGGTTGCTGGCTGTTGAAAAAGGAAAACAAGAAAAGAACCTAATGTCTTTGTCCAGACGCTAAGTCGCCACTTACTTCAGTGTATTTTCTCAAGCATGTACTAGCTTATAACCCCCACTAAAGCTGAAGTTTGTGAGAAATTAATTGTAGCATCTGACTGTGAAACACAAGCTCCCCCAGATAAATTGCCAATGTGGCATTTGGATACCAACCTGAATCATCGTCTTCAAAGTCTTGCTCAGAGATTGGAAAGTCATCCTCCATTCTTGGGAAGTTTACTAGAACAACAAAATGGGAAGCACCATTTGTTTAAAGAGGATTTTGGGGGGCATTATTGTCACTGGTCACTGGATTGCAAGACTGGCTGGGAGAAAGCAACAGTTAAACTACAGCAACGCTTTTCCTCATGGAAGAAGGAAGAACTCCTCCTCTTCTTCCTTTGACCAAAGTCAATGAAGACTCTTGCAGACTCAAGAGAACAAGATCTTCCCACTACATCACATTTCATGTCCACCAAATGACCAGTTTTTAAGAAGAAACGAGAGTGAGTGAAAAGCAAAGAAACTAGAGAACTTGAATAGCACTAAAATATTGCCATTGGTGCCTGCATAATGGCCATAATTCACTATTAACATGCTCAGGGGTATTATCCTTACAACTCTGAATAGGATCTCAATGCCCGTCATTACTTGCCACTAATGCTAGATCCATTTAGCACACTCTACTTTTCATCTTTTCCCACACATCTTACTGGACACAGGGCTTCAATGACCCGCTTTCTCTCTGGGTTTCAGGTAAATTCACCGTAATTGGAGGATGTCATGTATCATCATTATATGCTTTAATGCAAAAGCTGGTTGAAATGGGGAGAGCGGCAAATAGGTGTCCATATCTAGGCATTTATGCTAACATTTCTCTGATCCAAATTCCTTTTAGTGGTGACATTTCTTTTTACTGTTCAGCACAGATCAAGCACTAGTGACCAAATGCACATGCTGTAATCCGAGCAGAAGTTATTTTCCTGTGCAGCCTCCCTCGCATTATCTCTATGTGTAGTTACCATGGCTCTTTCTTCAGTTTTCCAAAAAGAAAATGCCCTTTCATTTCTATCTGCTTAGATTTTTCAAAGCTGACAGTAGCTTGGGGTGCTCAACTGAGAAGGCACCTTGAAATGATCAGGAATGCAGAAAATGAGGGACTACTAGAAAGCACTAGAAGTCACACTCTTGAAATAGTTATGGTGGAAAACCAAGGCTACTTCACATCTTGTGTGAAAATAGCAAGAAGCGTTTAAAGAGTTGCTTATAAACAACAAAACCCAAAGAATGTAACTTGTGCCTAAAAAGCCACATGCAAAGAAATTACTCAAAACCCTAGAAAAGAATATTTGTGCACATTTTCGCCGAGAGTTAGGACTTGTACAGCCCTCCTGAATTGTCAAATCAAATATTTTTGCTATCCCACGCAATGGTATCAGGCGATTCCCCACCAGCAACATTCCAAGGTTCACTTCCAGAGCAGGGGGCTCTGCTGAATGCTGTGCTGCCCCAGCACCACCTTACCCCTGACTGCAATGATCCTCTGTGCTGGTACTAACGATACCTTCCCAAATATCCATTCCTTGGGCACAGTTGTCTTTTGCCCTCTGCACTCAAAGGATTAAGGGGTTTCTTTGAATTTTCAAGCAAACCTGGCAACAGGAACAACACTTGGCCCTCCTGAGGATGAGGTCTGAGTCTAGTGAGCCAGGTAATTCAGCTGACTCAAGGCTGCTCGTAGGTTGTTGAAGAAACATAGGTGCACACCATTCTCTGTAAATCCTCACTTTAGCAGCGAGTTCACATGATTTCTCAACACTTCCAGAACTGACAGGCCCAGATGGCAACATCTTAGGGCTGGGAGAACTGCCTGAGGGCCTCTTGCAAACATTTAGAGCCGAACATGTGGAAAAATAACTTGCAAAGCAGTTCACACGCAGAGACGTCTGCTCTGCTAGTCTTCCATCAGAAGACAAGCAATGACATCTGCCAGCCGTGTCACCCACACAACTCTATGGAAACTGTAGGTTGCTCAAACATGAACAAAGGTCAAAACTGGACCAGTCTGCCCAAGGAGCCCATGTGTGGGGAAAGACTGTTGAAGTCTTTTGCCTTTCCATACTGTAGCTCCTCTAAATTTTGTGCGAGAACAAGCTAGCAATTTGGTGCCCTTTTATTTCCCAGGGTAGCCTTGAGGGAAAAGCCAGAAAAAACAAAGTAGTGGTTAATCAACATTTTCAAAAGAACACCAGTTCTTCCAGCCTGAAAGGAAGGAGCACTGGGAAAACTTGAAAAGAGAGAATATTTATACAAAAAGCCAAGCCCAAAATCTATTTACTTTTCTAGCAATTTTCTCAATTCCCCATGCTAATATGACTCCAAGTCCTGCTTAAAAGATATCTTGCTCCTCGCCCATTCTCCTTCCTCCTCAGGCCTGTGGTAGGCCCTCATTCTTCTGTTCCCCGCATGCCATTTCACTGCTATCAGATTGTATGTTGTCATGCAGGGCTCTAGTCTGGCTTTGGAAAAATAGGACTCAACATTTCTTTTTCCATCCTTGGGCTTCTCAACTCATTAACAAATCAGCTCTGGCTGTGTGGCTGTCTGTGGGAATTGAAGCTGGTGGTCTCATTGCAGTTCCTAGTGGAGATGATTTCCTGTCACAGAGACTAGCCTGCTATTTGTCGCCAATTACGCTCCTTTGTGACAAGTCTCAGCAATATTACCACAAGTGGAGCAGGCCGTGGAAAGTCATCCCCTTGGAAAGTGGTCCCCAGAAAAACCCTGCAAGCTGCTGGGCAGAAAGGAAGAAATATGCCTTGCCCTGTGCTGTGGAGAGCTGCTTCCTTAAAGGGCAGATTTCAAGTGCAATTTACTTTGCATTTTAAAAGGAAAAAAATAATACACTAGAGAAGGGCAGGCAAGAAAATTAAGAGAAACTGTACTTAAACATGAGGAATGCTTTCTACTAAGTGAAAGGCCTTTTTCAAAGCACATGTGCTGAATTATAGCTGTGAGCACCTAGCCAGTCATGCCCCAAAGATGATGTTAGCGATGCCTTTGGAAATGGCCAGATGCCGAGAAAGGCTGTTATCTGTTGGATCTGAAAGCACTGCCAGCTAAAAGGCTAATTTATGGGACCTGAAAAAAGAAAGATAAGATTCTAATCAAAGACAAGGACTGACTTAAGTACCACGTTCACATGAACTTGCATGGAGTGAGAGGAGAAAATTAGTATTTCCAAAGATTAAGGAACTGCAATGTACATCTGGTTTAAAATAGTAGCAGGGGTGGGAGGGATTGGGTCAGGGAGGGGATTACTGGAAGGAGGTGACACGTAGCTCAATGTGCCTTGCCAGGGCGGCAGGGGAGGCACAAGAATACACAAAAGCAAGGTTCTCTGGTGTCCCACCACAGACATACATGCACCTCTTGCAGGAAAGCTTTCCAAATCTACCTGAGGCAGCGCAGCTCCGCATAGCTGAGATCATATGGACTGGGTCGTACTTCCCACCACCACACATACTCAAATGCCAGCCTCCTTGCAGAGGCTTACCAGCAGCGCCCACTGCCTCAGGCAGAGACCTTTGTACCAAGCCAAGAGCTACATCCAGCCCTAACCTAGACGCATTCCTCCACAAAAGACAACCATCAAGAAAAAAATGCTATTTCTTCCTAGACCAGGTTTGTCTGGTTTAAGCCCGGGCACCAAGCGCTGCATCCTGCCGGTTCCCTCTATCCTGCCAGGTTCCTCCATCCCAGGGCAAAGCTCTGTTCATCACCATGCATCACTCTACACACAGGCGTTTGTGGATGGTGGCTGCGGTGCCTCCCGGCTCTTTCTAGGTGAACAAAATGAGCCTCTCAGCAGAAGATGCCTTCCCCAAACAATACATCAAACTTGCAGTAATTTGCAGCCTGTTTTGTTGGCCTGCCTGGCACAGGGCAGGGAGCACTGCAGATGCTCTTCTGCTGTCCTGCTCCCCCCTTCCCAGAGGCATCCATGGGCTCTGGAGACAAAGGAGATGCACCAGGTGATGGTGGCTTGTGGGCTCTGCTACCTTCTGTTCTCACTCCCCAATAACAACTGAGCTGTCCCTCCCAGTACAGAAGAAGGGTAGCTGGCTGCCCTCTGGTCCTTTCTACAGTAGGGAAACAACTCACTTCCCTGAAAACACCAAGTGTCCTCCTACATGCTCACCCCTCTCTCCTGCTGCTACAACATCCATCTTGGATGGTGCTATCGTGCCCGGCAAGGGGAGCACTGGGGGTGCACAGCTGCTCTGCTGCCAAATAGCGCCCAGGAAGGCCTGAAACATTAAATACAGCTAAGTCCAGGAGAACGGGGTCAGAAATAACTGCTCTCCAGTGCTGGCAGACAAGAGCTCCAGCTCTGCGCTCACACTCGCTTTTCTCCCTTTGCTCATTCCCAGCCCTTTTCTCTCCGCAGCAATAGTGTGACTCCAACTCACATCACTTTGTTTTGACACAGCGGAGCAGCCGCTGTGGCCTCGCCTTGACTCCGCTCTGTTTGGCGGCAGCAGCGCCGCGCTGCTCCTTCGGCTGGGAGCCCAGGGGGCTGGGGGAGCAACACTTCCCACCCTCCGTGAACAGGGAAGTGCTTCTCAAAGCAGCAGTACAGGCACCAGGCAGAAACACTCTCTCTGAATCCCCCACCGCTCTATTTCCAGCCCAAAATCAGCCTCACTTCTCTCTCCCCCACTCCTCCAGAAACACGAACGACTTTAGTTTACAAAAGGGCTAAATCCTTGCCAAATCCTTGCCAAATTTCAAATTAAAACAGTGCTTTGGCTACAGCTGAACAGTAAAGAAAGCAAACAAGTAGCTTCTCCCTGGCCTCCGCAGTGCAGGAACCCCCAGACCTTATCCTCAGATTGCCTTGGGGCTGCTTCAGCAGCAGTGCATGACACACTTCAGAACTATCATCGAAATGAGGGGCACTGAGGAGTCCCTTGTGTTCCTTGGGTTCCTATGTGCAGAGAGGATGGGGAAGCATGGCTTGCCAGGTGAAGACTCCCACCGAAAGCACTCGGAGATGTGAAGCCAGGCTGGGTGCTGGGTGTGGAGGCAAACGCAAGCAGGCAGCTATTCCCAGCCCCGGCGCTGCCCTCCAACGCGTGGCACCCTGCCCTCGCTGCACGTATGGCGGATGGCCAAGGCAGCTGCCCAAACTCGGGACCCTGCCAAACCCTCCTTCCAGCATCACATCCTCTGTTGCA